GGCAGGAAGGGGCTGCAAGATCCAGGGGGCTTGCAGATAAGATAAAGCAAAAAGCTGAATTTGGAAGCTTCGTCCCGCCGTATCTGGGGCACACGGCACCCTTCTGGAAATGCTCGGGGAGGCGGCGGAGGAGGCTCACGGGGAGGGGGGAGGAAAATGGAGGAGTGTCCGCAACGCCAGGATCCGGCAGCGTTATCCACGCAGTGTGGGAAGATATTCCAGCGCACCCTCCTGTGTGCGTTGGGACTGAAGAATTCCACTTTGCTCTAAATGTATTTATCACTCCATATCGAGGGGAGCTCTGGGCAAGAATTTGGGTGGGATATGGAATTAAAAACCCCAGACCACACCGAGACTCTGAACACAAGGTCACTCCTTGTGCCACCATTAGCTGCTTCTGCGGTGAGAAACAGCTCCTGCTCAGCCAGGAGGACATACATGAAAAACAAATGTTCAGGGGGCTCGAGCAGCCACCACAGAGCCCAATCACCAGCTCATCACCCACAGCATTATTTGTGGTAGCTCATGGTGGAGAGAGGGCTTTCCAACAGCAATCAATCCTACCAGGGATGGGGACAACCCCCCCCATCAGTCCCAGCCCTCCACCTCCCAAACATTCTCAGCCACCTTCCAGGGCAGCTGGTCCTTTGCTGCACCCTGAATGCAGGGTGACAAACACACCCAGCCAAGCTGCAGAACATCTAGCAGGGTGGACTGGACCATGCCCCTCCTTGCACACACCTGGAGGTGGCATGATGGAGAGCTTGGGCCACTGCCGCTCAACCCCTGCCCCGTTCCTCAGCTATGCAATCTTTAACTTGGTTTTCCAGCCACCAAGCATCACTCCAGAGAGGACTAACCTCCTCAAAGGACTCCGATTTCCAGACTCTCAAAATGCAATCACTTCCAGCGCCCACTTCACCAAACCACCACCTTGGCAGTGGGGCACAGGTTGGTTCTGCCCCAACCCCAAGAGCCACCAGCCCAGCCAGAGTGATGCCACTGGGATGTGTCAAGCATCGACCTCCAGGAACTTTGCAGGCCAATGAATAATTGGATCAAGTAGCTGCATCAACTCTTCTGCGCATGCATGCACAGCCACGAAACCCCCTGGTACCAAGCCTCCCCACACCAGGGAGGTGGCACAGGACCCCAGGTGTTCCGGCTCTCAAGCCACCTACACCAGTGCCACCCAGTGAGGCTGGGACAGTTCACCAGCAGCATCACATCTATATCCCATCACATCACCTAAGCTCTGCTCCGTGCAAGGGAGAGAAAAGCTACGGCCACTGTCTACCAATCCATTCTGCTCCATTACCCGGGTCCCTCTATGCCGGGTTTGAAGATCAGCGGGTGCAATGGCCCCAAGGCAGCTGGTGCATGGGGACCGTCCAGCCCCGGTGGGTGGCAAAGCCAGCCAGGCGCCATGTTGCGGCGGCGTGAGCGCACGGCGCGCTGGAGGAGAGCGAGGGGAGGGGGCAGAGAACCTCCTGGGTCCCGAGGGCCCGGAGCAGAGGACTGCAGCAAAACGCTACCGAGGCATTTTCCAGCATCCTCTCCAAGATGGAGGGCAGCTGGTGACCCACTGCGCCAATGCCCGCTTGAGGGGTGCGAGGAGAGAGGTACCACCCAGCCAGCGGCTCTGACAGCCCAAGGGCAAACGCGCAGGGCTGCAAGCTTGGCTTTGGCATGTGGCTACAGACGAATGACCCTTGCAAGCCCTCGCAGCATCGGAGTCCAGGAGCATCCAGGTTCTGGTTTGCCATGGCCATCCGGAAGAAGGGGACTGCAGGCTCCAGCCCCAACCACATGAG